CGCCCCGGGCCGGGCCGGGCGCGGGGAGGAGGCGCGGAGCCGCGGCGGGACCTGCCGCCCGCGGCCGCTTCCTGGATGTTGTAGCGACGTGGGGCGATGCCCGCGTCTTTCGCCGCGAAACTTGCAAAAAAAAAAAGGAAAAAAAGCTAAATATTTTGTTTGTTCGTTTGTTTGTTTTCTTCTCTCCCCTTAAATTATTTTTGTAATGGTAGTTTTCGTCTTTTCTACATTTTACTCATACCGATGCAGCTATGGTACATCTGTTAAAATGATTCAAAACCCCATGTATTTTAGACAGTAGGACGAAAAAAAAGACTGAGCATGCTCGACCTTTTATATCAATTTTTACAGCGTTTCTAAGAACAACAACAACAGTAATAATAATAAAAAAAGCATTTAAAAATCAACCCTGCTCTCGTTTGCTCTGTGTCCCGACGGCAGCGGGCGGCGGCGGGGGAAGTTGCGCTTCCCGGGAGCTGCTGCCCGCTCGCAGCGCCGGGGGGGGGGACACGACACGGGGGGCTTCCAGCATGTGAAACGGGGAGGTTGGGGGGGGGGGGGGGACCCTTTTTTTTTTTTTTTTTTTCCCTAAAGCAGCCAAAGGGCGATGCAACGGTGGGAGTCCTGCACGTGGTGGTTCCAAAGTCTTGCTCCCCCCCTCGCCCCCCGGGGAGCGGTTGCATCGCCGTGCCGGAATGCTGAGTCAGCGGTTGCTGCTGAGCTCACTTGGGGCCGAGCAGCAGTTGCACTGCAGGAGGGGCTGCTCTTTGGCCAGGACTCTTCCAGAAACATAGCCTTATTTTAAAAAAAAAAAAAAAAAAAAGCACCCGTGAACACAAGAACACCATTAGTTAAAATTCCTGGTAAAAAAACCAAACAACAAAAAAACCCTCGAAGCGGTTTCCACTCCAGACAACGCAAAGCTGCACCTACACTAAGGCGCTCCTAAGCTTGAAGCCGCTGCGGTCCCACAGGAGATGCTGTTGCAGCCATGCGCCTCAGCCCGCTGTGGGCTATGGACGGGCAGGAGCCGGCCACTTTCACCGGTCACTGCCAGTGACAGCGAGAGCAGGCGACAACGCTGATCCCCGACTGAGTGACAGTATTACGGAAGGGTAGGCAACTTGTCTGAATATTGATAGCGCACGCACAAAGATGACAGCATCTGTAGGGCGCTGGCAGAAAAGCGGCCTGGTACCACAAGCATCTCCAACAGCCAGTGCCTTGCGAGAGAGGAAAGTCTTGCTCGTTTAGAAGGGGCGACCCTGGCCGCGTACAGGGCAGTATCCTCTACACAGGATTTGGCCAACATCCCCTTTTTCCTTATGGCAGGGGGGCAGGTCAGAGACTGAAAGACTTGGAGGAGGGGGGAAAATGGGGATTCAAAAGCTGGGTCATTCCTTTAGTAATCGTGACGTATCTGACTTTCCACTATCATCGGCCTTGGCCGCAGGAACGATCAATGTAGCAATGAGTTTGCTGTTCCTCTTCTGCCAGGTAGTCATGCACTGGACCTGTGCAAAACCATTAATTCCTCCTCCTCTGACCTGTACGGGTTTTTTAAATACCGAGAAAGGGGAAGGGGGAAAAACCCCTAATCTCTGACTGAATGCTTAACATTAATTCTTGCATCTCAAACAATGCACACATAGGAAGATTTTCATATTATCTGATTTGTAATCCATGTTTCTGTACAGTCGGGGTGAGGAAAGTTACGTGGCCTACAAAGCAGTTTGCTCGTTACCCGTAACAGAAACTGTATAATGAGACACCCGCTTTGTGGGAAGCTACAGATAACACTACTTCTCTGCTTAGAGACCAGTTAGCTGTAAAACATTAACTTTATATAAGCTTGACGCTTCAAAACATAAGCTTTGTTCAAATCTCTGTCTTTGTAACATTTATTGCAAGGTGATAACAAATGCTACAACTCAGAATTAGCGCACAACACGGTGTTTTGCAGCCAGTGGTACTCTGGAATCCACTGATAAAACTCAGCTTAGACCAACATTCACTGCCTATAGCAAAGTATTTATTTCAAAAATATCAGTAAAATATTTTCCATCGACACATAATAAATACAATATTACAGAAAAAAATTGACAACTATTCAAAACTTCCAGAACAAGATGTTTTACGTACATAAACAGCAAACATGCCGAAGAAAGAACTGTATTCTTAAATTCTGAACTGATCTGAAAAAGAAGAGTTCAGAAGGTTGAACAGAAATTTTTATAGAGATATTTTTTCAGCGTTAGCACAATGTGCTTTGTAAATCACAGTTTTAATAAACTATCTTAATACTTATCACACTTGCGTTATACATTATCTGTGGCACTAGTTAACAGATAACCACATCACAAAGTCCACAGATACTATAGTAGCTGACTAGAGTTCAGCTCAGTGTCTTGCTGCTGCTTCCAGAAGAACAATTTCCTCCAGTGCAACACAGTTGGGGTGGCTGGTTACGGAGTGGACGTAGCAGTTCAATAACCCCACCTCCTTTCCCAGCACGCTCTGCACCTCATAACTCTGCAGTGATAAAAGCATGTTGATTAAAACAAACAGTCCTGGACATTCTGTTCTAAGCAGCATTCGACTGGGAAGATGCAGGCTGCAAGGTCCTCTTCCAACAGACAATTTTTTTTAAGGACTCAGAAAGAAAGGTGCATTAGAACCGATGGAAAGAATGAATATGTTAGATTTTCAATAATTAGATCTCACTCCTGCTTAAAGTGCTGCTTCCCTACCAGGCTTTCAAAAGTGAGCTGTTTAAAAAAAAACCCAAAACCAGCTACTGTGACTTCGACCTCAATTTTGCTGAAGCATAAGCTACATGTGCTCCCTTTATCTAGCTTTCTGACACTGGTAGGAATTCACACGTGCTAGCAATGTATATATACATACTATATATCAATTACCTTAGCTAACAGATCCACTAAAGGAAAAAATATTTTGTAACTCTTCTGCACCTCCCCCCCCGCCCCCGGCTTTTTACTTTGTGTTGTATCATGCGTCCTTGGTGATCACTGGCGCCTACACAGTCCCTTCTGTCTAATGATCCGAGTGGCAGTTTACCCACATGAGTTGTGCCTGAGCGAATTTGTAGAGACTGGACTCTGTGTGGAGGAGAGGGACATGAGGCTGGGATGATTTCTCTAAGATGAGAGAGCATGTTACCAGAAGAACTGGTAACACCGACAGCTGATACGTCGCCCGAGAGAGTCTCTCTCTCAGATGGCAGGTTTACATCCATTTCTCTCCTCAGTGGTACTTGCCTGCGACCAGCCTCTGACCATGCACCCTGCTTTCATCTGGGCTGTGCATTTGTACAGGCATGTGATACCCACATCTATTGCCTGATTCAAGGTATGAACAACCCTTTTCTTCTTTTTTTATAGATTGTTTTTACTCCAGCCCAGTTCTGCAGTCCAATTCATCACGCAGCTGCACAAACAGCTATATTGGTGTAACAGAAGGGTTGTCACAAGGTAAGGAACAAGTGGCCAGGGGCAGTGGCGGCTAAAACCAACCTCCCTGCCAAAAGAAGTGATTACAAAGCTACACCCTTAGAAACTTTAGCAGCATTGGCAAAAAAAAGCCACCTCAAGTGGTATTTCTTGTGATTAATTCGCTGAGTTGTGCTGCTTTTTAAAATGCAGTGGTTCAGAGACAGAACTGCTTATGAAAAAAAAGGAAAAAATTATCCCTGCATTTCAGCTAGGGAAAAAAAAAACCCTGTTTCTAACTTGCCAGACTTCTCAATACTAGCATTATAAAAACTGAAACATGAAAAAGAGGTTGTTTGAATTCTATTAACTCGAAAAAGAACTACGTTTTGTCAGTCTGTAACCAAACCAGCCACATTCTGTAAAACTTAGCAAGACTTAACTGCTATTAAGAAAGCAAACATATTTTGGAAATTTCTTGTATCTCTTTGCTTAAATCAAATATACACCCTCCAGCATAAGAAAAATAATTTACGATTTCAGAGCAGCATTCCACTTTAAATATTATCCATAAATCCCATTAAAACCATGGAGCACATAATAGCAAAATGCTAGAAGATTATACAAGACAGAGAAAGCAAAATGACCCCGACACGTGTCACCTAACCAAAGATATTTAACTAGGATCATTAAACAAGACAACGAGCTGACCTTTGCTCCCTTCCACGTGCAATGGAGACGGGGGATCTCGGGATGTTAATGGGACTTAATCACCCTCTGAAGGTGCCGCTCCTTCGCTGCTGACCATCCGGCAGCCAATGCCAGCCAGGCACCTACCCAGGTGCCTCCCTCACCTGTGATACATCTGGGTCACTGTGCCAAATGTCAAGGTTCTTCTGATATCTCAGATTAAAGGAATAACTACTTCACGATTACATAAACTGTACTTCAGCCCATGGATCCCCGTGGCTTACGTGTATTTCATTCACACAATTATAAAGTACTATCTTGCATGCATTTTGCAAATTCCTCTACTATTACTGCCTGCCAGTAGTTTCATGGTTGTACTATTAGAAAGTAGTTTTGGTTTATAGGGCTTAGAAGACCAGCCCCAAAAGGTGGGATGCTTGAACTGTGTTTGCTGTCTTTGGATCCTCAGCCAGAAAATGGAGATAAGCCCAGCACTGCCCGTCACAGCTCTGAATGTCTGGACATAGTCCTATTTGCAGATAGCTCTGCAGATCTGCAGCTGAGCTAAAGCTGTCTACATACCCCATCTGTAGCATCCCTCTTCTAAAAAAGGGGGTGTCAGCCTGACGAAAGTCATGCGATAGCAAAGCGTTAGCAGGCGGAAGGTGGGATTGCCAAAGGGTCCAGCCCACTCAAATCCCAGGCTGGACATGAAAAAAAATTCATTATTTCTAGTGAAATCCCCTACCGCTCCTAGTGCAGTTCTGAAACGAGCTGCCTGGAAAGGCAGAATCTCCATCCTTCAAAGTTTTCAAGACCCTGCCAGCCAAAGTCACGGCTGACCTGCCTACGCATTGGCAACAGCCCAGTGTGAGCGCTAGGTTGGATGATGACCTCCAGGAATCCCTTTCATTTCTGTGATTCGAGTATCTTCCTACCCGATTCATGTCTCTTGTACTCTGCCTCTACACTAAGTTATGTAGTTTAACTTTCTTTCATCAACATTCATTATACCTACCCCATCCTCATTGGCAGAGAACTTCAGGAGAGAAGAGATTGTCCTTTGTAACAGCTGGAATGAGAAAATAGACAGGTTTTGTTCATGACAAAAGTCTTATGTGTGCAAAGAGGTTCTGTTCACAGGTTAAAACAGTCACATTGAACAAAGATTTATCATTTTAATATAGAATGGTTTTGTTTCTCCGGCCAAGAAAGCAGAGGAGAGGTGACACAAAAGATGTTCAGAATGGGAGCCTAAAAATACATGTTCTTTTTAGGCTGTGGAGACTGAGGTTTCCCAAGGCCCAACCCAACAAAGCCCTTCAGCTGGACCATAAAACAGTTTGCAAACCTCAGGGTGAACTCGACGACTGTATGGTTTGAGTAAGATCTGGGAACTGGGTCCTTAGTCCAATGAAACACAAGTTTAGTATCAGATTAAATTATGGGGTACTCTTACATCTTTTAATTTGTCTTCTGACAGAGCTGTTTATAAAAGCGTGGCTTAGAGTACCTGTGTGTCTACATATCTAGCCTCACTGTACTCAATACACCAAAGCTTATTTCATGCCATACCTTTACTTTTACTGTACTTTGAGATCGAGATGGACAACTCAAGAAGACTTCCAGCTGCATTTTCAAAACCGGTGAAATGACAACTTCAGAGCACTGGTTGCAATATAGCAATCCTCTGAAACACACAAATAATGATGGAAAAACATAGAAAAATGGAAAAGCTATCAGTCATAAATCAAAACACACAAAAACCAGCTAGCTTATTCTCTAAAATACTTTGCCGATAGACTTCTAGTAGGAAAGCCCTGGCAGAGATTCAGTTGATAATAACAAATAGAACTCTTCTGTTGGTAGAGCTAAATAACTCTCTTGGAGCACCTAAACTCTTCTAGCAAAAGGATCTTCCTTTTATAAGTTTTGGCAACATGGGGGGAGGTTCCTATTTATAGTCACTCCCCTTAAGCAAATATTAATCTTATAACCTTCTAAAAGTTATGGCAAAAGAAAATTTGTAGTATAGATTTGGCCCAAGTGACTTACTGATTTAGGCCCTCGTTCAGCAAACATTCAACATTTTCAGCACATACTTAAGTCATATGCATAAAATTAAGCTCAGCTGTAAGAGCTTGTTGGAATAATGTCTTAAACAAATATTGATGCTACATTGTTCTTCAAATGAAGCAGAAGTGTCCTTCACAGTAGATATTTTTTTTAATTGAACTACATTACTATGTGAATGTACACACAACCTTATTTTTTGCATGACGGTATAATATAGGACAATTTTTTTTTATTTTCAGCCTTTTTCCCCCAGAGGCTATACATAACAAAGCATAAGCCATAAAGCTTCTCATATTTAGGAAAATGTTCTCTATTTCAATGCGATCAAACCCACCCAACTTCTCCTTATGCTTTTTGTAAGCTTTTCCACTAGGAAGAATCCCCCTTTCCTTCTTTTTACACTCTGACTATTCTCTTATCCTCTCGTGTTTTTATGCCCTCAGGTATCTCAGACCCTGCAAGAGCAAGCTGGCTAAGCAGCTGAAGGGGACGTTTTCCAAGAACATGCCAGTGTGACGCAGGTTTAGCATTTCACGTGGTAACAGGTCCTGTGGGATCAGTCTTCACATTTGGGACAGTGGTACTCCCAGAATTATTCAACATCCTTTTTAGAAAGGTTATAAATCAAATATGTCTGAAACACCACTCTTTCACACTTACGTAAATTACAGCAAAGATCACAGTTCAATATAAAAATGAGGTGAATTGGTGGTACACAGGGTAACAAGGTAGCATAGACAAACACAAGAAGCTACTTTTAAAGGAGCTTAAAATCAGACCTGTGATTTACATGGATGTTTATTAAAACTAATATTATAATGCAGTGGGCTATGAAATCTTTGTAAGCAATACTTTAAGATTAGTTTGAAAAAAAATGTGATAACTGCAAATTTAAACCATTTCATATCTACTTGTATCTTTCTTAATAAATTAATCTAACCTTGCTGGTTTTATCAGTTCATCAGCAATAAAAATACTACGTCTTAGTTCTAGGAAGGAATAAAGTGCAGCCTGTGCCTGCAGGAATCATTGCATCACCTATTGCTGTTATGGCTACATCTGCAAAACACCTGGAGTGCTCCGGAGCATGCTGACTCTCACCTGTCCTGGGGACACAGTTCCAACTTTCCATTGCCACATCTGTCGCATGTAGGCCAGGAGAAAGCAGTGCTCTCATTAACTCCAACAACAATACCTGCAGAAGATAAAATTCTTACAAAATACTAACAGTAAGCTAGCAAACACAGTCACTCCTGGCTTCACAGCAGGTTTTGTCCTTTCTGACTCTCAGCTTAAGCATCAGCTCTTCCAACAATCTCTCCCCCTTTCTCCTTTGTCCCTCCAACAAGGGATGACAGTATGGCAAAGTGTGTTACATTCTAAAAATACCAGAAGGTAGATAATTGATAATAAACTTTCCAAACAAGTTCAGCTCTTTTGGTTTGGGTTTTATTGTTTTTCTGATTTGTTTTTGTTTGTTTCTTCTCTTTCTGTTCCTCTGATGTTTCCTTGGCAATAAATAGCTATAAAAATCATCAGGTCAGACAGCATGATATCAACATTTAGGAAACACAAACCAATAAGAAGACCCAATCCCTTTTGAAAACAACGATGCAGGTTAAATTCCATTAACAATGAAGTTATTCTTCATTTATACTGATTTAACAGAGATTAGATCTGGCCCACAGATTTAAGTGTGTGCCTAAGAAGGGAATGCCAAAGATACTTTGGACTAATATAAAGGGCCTTGCTAGTTTTGGCAAGAAAAAATATATTCAGTGTTCTATGAGAAGCCAATAAAGAATGTATTATGTTTTATGATAACGATATGCTGAAATTATAAGCATTATTTATGGAGAAAATACTTCTAAGTATTTTGAAGCATACAAAGTTGATCACCTTTAAGAATGAAATTACACTAAAATAAACCCTCACTGGTATAACAGAAGTATAGACTAAAAAATTCCAGCTCCTATTGAGCAAGAATCTCACAGCTTTATGCATACCGCATTCAATAAAAGAAACCCTTGGAGACTAGGGAGCATTTACACTGCCTGGTCTGTAAGACAGCGTGTTAATCCCTTGCTTTCCTGGTTCTCCTGGGACAAGGACTGACAGGAAGAAGGGAACTACACAGAAACAACAAAACCGTAATTCTATTTCAGAATTCAAAGGACAGCAAGTCTGAAGGTCAGGAGACGTACTTCTCAAATACAACATTTATGACCCAAATTCTATTCATGTAACGAAACAACATGGATTTCACTGACAGAATAAGCAATTCCGCGCATTTAACCCCTTGGACTGTTACAGGAATAACTTTGATTCTTCAGTTTTTGTAAATTGAGAGTTTCCATCAGCACTTACTACTACAAGGTAAGATGCTTTCTGCCACAGCATGGGCATGTTTCCCTTGTTCATGGAAAAGAAAAGCTACCGATTAGTTTGCTGAATATGTTTCCTTTTTTGTTAAAAAATCATTTTAAAAACAAAACAAAATCCCCTCTTCTGACAGATCTGTTTCTCTCCTAAGCCTTTTAACTTTCCCCCAGTTGTGCGCTGTATTGCAGCTGCAGGGTGCCAGTGTGCAACTAATACAAGTACATGTGAAGGAAATGAATCAGGATCACACTGACGAGATTATGTCTAGTGGAGAGGTTTATTTTGATGACAACATAGAGTTCCCTCGAGAAAACCACCAGAGATCACTGAAGTCAGAACAAAAACAAGTGAAGGCAGCAGCAGATGCAATAATCTAGTGACAGCCTTGTGCATCCTGCATGCAAAGTCATTTCTCAAGTTTAAGCTGCTGAAACTGCAGCACATCTGTATTAGGTTTGCGTGGCAAAGTTTTGGTAGCCCGAGGGCTACAGGGGTGGCTTCTGTGAGAAGCTGCTGGAAACTTCCCCCATGTCTGACAGGGCCAATGCCAGTCGGCTCCAAGAAGGACCTGCTGCTGGCCAAGGCTGAGCCCATCAGCAATGGTGGTAGTGCCTCTGGGATAACAGATTTAAGAAGGGGAAAAAAGTTACTGTGTAACAGCAATTGCAGCTGGAGAGAGAGAGGAGTGAGAACATGTGAGAGAAACAACCCTGCAGACACCAAGGCCAGTGAAGAAGGAGGGGCAGGAGGTGCTCCAGGTGCCAGAGCAGAGATTCCTCTGCAGCCGTGGGGAAGACCATGGTGAGGCAGGCTGTCCCCCTGCAGCCCAGGGAGGTCCACGGTGGAGCAGATATCCAGCTGCAGCCCAGGGAGGACCCCACGCCGAAGCAGGGGGATGCCCCAAGGAGGCTGTGACCCCGTGGGAAGCCCACGCTGGAGCAGGCTCCTGGCAGGACCTGCGGACCCGTGGAGAGAAAAGCCCACGCTGGAGCAGGTTTGGTGGCAGGACTTGTGACCCTGTGGGGGATCCACGCTGGAGCAGTCTGTGCCTGAAGGACTGCAGCCTGTGGAAGGGACCCATGCTGGAGCAGTTTGTGAAGAACTGCAGCCCGTGGGAAGGACCCACGTTGGAGAAGTTTGTGGAGGACTGTCTCCTGTGGGAGGGACCCCATGCTGGAGCAGGGGAAGAGTGTGAGGAATCCTCGCCCTTAGGAGGAAGGAGCGGCAGAGACAACATGTGATGAACTGAACCCAACCCCCATTCCCTGTCCCCCTGCACTGCTGGCGGGGAGGAGGTAGAGAAAATCGGGAGTGGAGTTGAGCCCAGGAAGGAGGGAGGGGTGGATGGAAGGTGTTTTTAAGATTTGGTTTTATTTCTCATGACCCTACTCTGGTATGATTGGTAATAGATTGAGTTAATTTTCCCCAAGTCAAGTCTGTTCTGCCTGTGATGGTAATTGCTGAGTGATCTCTCCCTGTCCTTATCTTGACCCACGAGCTTTTTGTTGTATTTTCTCTCCCCTGTCCAGCTGAGGAGGGCAGTGACAGAGCAGCCTTGGTGGGCACCTGGCATCCAGCCAGGGCCAACCCACCACAACATCTTTGTCAAGACTCTGGATTTTGCTTGATGTTCACAAACCTTTTGGATATTTTCCCAAGATCCTGCTTTTAAATGGAAACGCACATAGCTGAAATTCAATTTTTACCTCTAGTCTATTTTTATCGGTTGTGGCTGACATCATTAAGAAGAGACTGATAATAGGATGACACCTGGAAAAACAGGCCTCTGGTGAGGAATGCAAAGAAGGGCTGCGCATTAGAAGTAACATTCTGGCTGAAACGTTCAAAAAAATGAATGTGTATGGTTTTTTTCCAACCAGTTACCCTGATTAATGGACAGGAAGGGGAAAAGTTCAATCAAAAAGAGAAACCTAGGTAAGCTGATTGACCCCATCTTGTTCACACTGTTAAGAGGGAACCTGGGAAAAAAAACACCCCAGAGTAAGGGTGTTGGGTATGAAAATACCCAATGTCAAAATTCAGTCACTGGTGGTGAGTTATATACCAGGCAAATATCATTAATCAAGTAATATTGGACTAACTAGAATTTGCTCATAAGCATGGTTAAGAGGAAAAACAGTTCTGTGCAGTATGAACTGCCAACATTTAAGTCATCCTGACTGCTACTCAACACCAAAAAGAGGTTAGAAATTACTTTGCAATGCATAGTCATAAGAAAATAAATCTATTAACTCTGGGCTCACAGGTGAGAACCACAGACTCATCTTTAGAAGAGCAATAAACTTTCCAGTAGAAAGCAACCTCAGGTGTTCACGCATCTGTTGAAGAGCAACACACTCCATCCTGGAGCTGGTATGACCGGACCTCTCTTGAAACAAGGATTTCTGACAAACTTGGTGGATCTGCTTGGATTGCCACATTGTCCTTTTAAAGCTGGGCCAGCTATAGGGCTGTACCAGGTTGCTCAGGGCCCAGCCTTGAGCAGAAGTTAGGACTGGAGGAACTTCAGAGGTTCCTTCCAACCTAACTTACCCTATTTATACACCTTCCAAAAAATGACCGATCTACCTAAAACCCAGCAGGCAGCATGGCCTTTGTCCCTCCCCAGTCCTGGCACTCCTGGAGGCTCTGACACTGTGACCAATTGCTGTATCTGTGGATGGGGACTTGAACGATCCCCTGCATTTTTCACTGGTTAAAAATAAGTTTTTCTAGGGAAGGTTGAGCCTGCCGAATCCCTGAGCCAGGAGGAGCAGCCATGACTGCAAAGGAGCAGGAAGGAGCACTACTTCAAGAAGGAGTAGAGTAAAGCCTTTGGAGCCTTTTTGAGTGTTAGGTGAGAGGAGGCCCACGTACAGCATACGCAGGTGACCAGAAGTACAGGAAGTGAAAGGAGGGCACAAAGAAAAAGAATGAACGAGGTAATACTGCTTCTCATCGCACAAGCCAGACTAACAACTCTCTCAGTTAAGAGACAGAGACAGTGAGTGAATTTTAGGGGTGATAAATTTTCCTTCATGGGCTACTCTATCAAATACATATTCTCCCACTAACAAAGTAGGGTTAATGCTATTAGTTTCAGTTCTTCAGTAGAAAGATGTAGGCAATAACTAACCAAATTCCAAAACACTGGATATATATCTTAAATGCTATTAAATAATTTTAGTTACACATAAAAGTGAGAGTTGTCATCTATATAAAGCATTAGCATAGGTATAAAGATGACACTTTATATTCTATATTGGTACAAGTGTGTGGGAACATACTGATAACAGCTACCCTGGACAAATTTCAGATGAAGCAAGACAAGGTTGCAAGATTAATTTCTCCTTTTGCCATTCTTCCACCTGTAATACAGAAGAGGGAAAGCGTGACACCTCCCATGTGTATAAAGTAAGTACTTGTTTACACAGTAGATCACAAAAGTGTATTTTCTTTGCTCCACTGGAAAAAGAAAGGACAGAGAAATATTTGCTTTATCCTACTACATACACTATCAATAGGACAAAAGAAGACTGGCACTTCTCATACTTAGTTATAAAATTAAGAATGGAGAAGTGATAATGCTTAGCATAAGTATTGGAGAGGTTTAAAAAAAGCCAAAAAGTATTTCACACCCAGTGACAGAAATACCTTCCAAGTAACTCACAATATCAATGTGAGATGTACATAACAACCAAGGCTTTGAGTGAAGTGCCTCTAGTTGTGCTTGTTTTTCATTATGCAGTGTTAGTGTTCACTGCAAGGTGCTTATATATTATTCACAGAGGCACTGCTAACTTGTGGCTCTACCATAAGAGAAGGTATGTTTAGTAACAGCTTTGTGTGGTTTCAAACTGTCTTTTCAGTGCATCGCATTATAGCTGGAAGGATTCGTTTGTAACCATTATTTGCTATTATTTTAAAGCTCATTTCAAGTGCTCCAGTGAATACTTGAAGGTGTAAATGTAAAACAGTATCAACAATTTTCTGCAAGGGCTACCAGAATCATAAGAGTTAGATTAAGAAAGGAAATTGTCTTTAAAAGCCAAGAGTTATTGGGCTTTTAAGGACCTTTTCCCTATAGGCACTCTAAAACTGGGAGGTTTAAGAAGCTGACTGGACAAAGCATTAGAAAATACACAAATAGGAAATGTTTCTGCATGATTAGGAAATGTTAGAAAATACATTGTAAGAAATGTTTCTGCATGGTTAGTGGTACGACTGAAATATTAGACAGAGCAATGATCCAAAGTGGCTGGTGAGCAAATATTAGCCAAGTTACACTAAATGACTATGGTGAAATATTAAATTGCCCCATTGCAGAAAAGCTCCAGGGAAATCAGACACTAACCCCTACCATTCAGGATCTGGCTAACTTATCTTATCCATCTGCCTAAAAAATATTAGTATACCTTACTGTCACCAACTCAACAAGCCTGGTGTGAACAGAAGGCTCCTGCCTGAAAGAAGATGGTGAAGGGAGGAATATAATAAAACAGACTGTGCATCAAACATTTATTCTGAAGTATGAGTGAGTGGGAGCAGAGCATGGCCAGCAAATGGCAAACAGAGCCCACAAAGAACTATAAAAACTTAAATATCGTAATGACCCACAGGAATACTGTGCTTTCTTATCCCTCCATGCTGTTTGTGCAAGAAATCAGTACGAAGACCTAGAAGATTGAAGTGGGCAGAAATAATTAACCACCTTCATTTCAGGAAAGGCTATACAAACCTTTTACAGCACAAATGGAGTTGGCCTGTGTTGTAGAATCCAGCTCATCGAGTCTGACAGGGCCAGTCAGCTCACTGAGGTCAGCACCGGCAGTCGAGTACAAAAGAGGCTTTTGTAATAAGAGAACAGTACGTTCGACACAAATAATCCTACCTGCCAACAAAGACATTTCAACTCAGTACAGTAACAAGGAAAAAGGTGACCATGTTAATTGTCATGGCCAATAAAGACAACGACAGCTGCCAGCTACTAAACAGATGGATAGACTCCATCAGGTTTTCTCAATGACAAAATACTTTGCTTTCCGTGATACATGTATCATGCTCTCATTACAGTTTGCAACTCCCAGGCAAAAAACATGTTTTAAAAATTCAAACATGGCAGAAAAGAGTCCAATTCCACTCTAACCTCATCACACCACACTCCCTGCAAACACATTGTTACTGTCTATTCCCTGGTAATAAGCTTGGGCACCCCTTCAGGTGGTCTTACTTTGTTTCAAAGATTACAAAGAGTAGGTGCATGCAATGCTTCATTCTCCAAAGCAGAGATTTTTGCTTCAGGACACACAGCCATTTACAAAGGATCGTGCTTGCAGTCCACTTACATTTTGAAAATGACCAAGGGACATGCAAGTCTCTAGATGCACCCTCTTACTCCTTTTAGAGGTAGTAAATTCAATAAAACAAGTTTCTGCAAGAATATAAAAACAAATGAAACCAAGTTGCTTAATAGAATAGACTATTTCAGTTGGAAGGGACCTACAACGATCATCTAGTCCAACTGCGAGTCTTTGAGTCTTCTATCAGCAAGTAAATTTGATTGACACTGGTCATTAGATTCAACAGCCATCAGGGAAGACTGACAGAAATGTTGGTGGACATACAGCAAGATCACCGAATCTCTCCTTTACTTTGGAGATTAAGCCAAAAATGTAAAAAACAAACGTTATAGGCAAGCTATAATTACAACCCCTTTCAAATTTCTTCCCAAACTTAGAATGTCTCACCTTCATCTGAGAATGAAAGTCTCTGTAGGTCACATATTGCAGTGTCAGAGATTAGGATGCTATTTCAGTTTGATTTCAACTGCTTTAAAACCACACATAAAGCTTACCATTTCCCCACAGCACATCCTTGAAGAAGACGAGTCGCGAGGCAACACTGAGAGCTTCTGTGATTTCCGTACTGAGAACACAAGATGCAGCAACTGACACAGCAACAACTTTTGGAATCATATGAACCACATTTTGCAATGTAGAGTCAGTCACAAACAACGAAATCTCTCTTTGATTTATAGGAACACTGTGTTTTGTCTACAATTTCAAAAAAAAAAACAAAACCACAAAATTGGAATTGAGTTGTTAATTTTTAGTAGAAGGAAAGACTAAAATAACACTCTAATATTTAAATAACTAAAAAAACTGTCAGAAATTATTACATTTAGGGCTCGTACAGGATAATGAATCAAAGCTTTATTGGAATTTTTCATTATTCATTACTGCAGACACCAACATCTCTACCTTAAATTAACTTTCTGAGGTTGATCCTCTGGAATCTTGGCTCTATCTCTACCAACTATCATACTTTATCAAAATTCACTTGAACTGTAAAAGGGATTTGAAAATATATTTTATTTAAAAATTACTATATACTATATAGTACATACTGTATATAATCTATATTATATATTTATATCATAGATATTATATATATATATATAAAAAGTTAATTGGCTGTTTTTATGAACAAAGACTTACATAACTTTTGCTTTAAAAAAAAAGAAAGGCTATTGCTAATACTAATATTATTCCTCCATGAGCAAATTTTCCATGTACTGTTATCTGATTCCCAAGAGCACCAGTCCTTGTTTAATAGCTACTATCCAGTCCTTGGTTAATAGCTAATGCAAGTTACAAAGTAGAGTGTTACAAAGCTGGAGTTTCTTCTTTCAGTTGAACAAACATCTTAAAATATTTGAATGATGCATAGAAATAGGGAAGTAGCCAACTCGTAAGTAAGAGACACAGAAATCCGCAATGACAATGTAAGTTTTCTGCCTAAGACAGGTATAAAGGTGTGACTAAGTTACGGTATATCACAACTACCAATGTCACAACCAAAATACCTACATTTCATCTCAGCCTTCATATCTGAAAATAATTATCACAAAATCAGTAGTGGTTTTTAAATTTTTGACACTGGGATGATGAACAGTACAGACGTTACATACACATCAGTGCCTATTCCAGGGTCTCTAACAAAATCAGATGGATTACAATTTGATGATTGGTGCTCTTCTTTTTTTTTTTTTTTTAAACACAGCTTTTATAATATCTGTGTGTGTATGTGAATTTTCCCAGGCCTTAGAAAAAATGGGTTTAATAATAAAGCATGTTTCACATTTACCAGTCCAAGCAACTTGTGAATTTTAAGATTCTAAAATTTTAAAATATTTCACTACAATTAAATTACTTTCTTAATTTAAAAAGTTTTTGTTACTATTTTTAATTAGTCTGCTGATTAAAAATTCATACTTAAAACATTTAAATGAAAATTAAATTTTACGATGATTGGAGAGACACGTATCACGTAAGTATTTTATTCTCAAAGTTGCATGTCTCTAGCCTAAGGTAATGCAATGAGAACCCCAAGTTTTTGTCTTTGGTTGAATTCAAACCTTGAAACTGTTAACCACGCTAAAATTAGCTTTTTGTTCATGCTAGCAGCTCTTAGAGGAAATGCAGTAATTGTAAATAATGACTGGGAAAATTCATAATTCAGATATTATGGTTATGCCTTAATACAATATATGCTGCCTATTGCATTGATGATATTTCTTTGCGTAGTAACTACGTACGTTTGAGTACCTCCTCTGCGTAGATAGCATTAGGACAGCTTCAAAGAAAGAATTTTTACAGCTGTCCCGTGAGAATTACTAACACATTAAAAGCTGGCTTTCAGAAGAATCATCCAAAAAGTAAATAATAATAACAGCAAAAATCACAAGTTAGTATAAAATCATCATCTTGCTATGTGTGACAATTTGTTCTGAACAGAGAGGACACAACAGACAAATAGCAGCAGGATTGAGTTATAAGGAAGGACAGCTCCTTAACCACAGATGGAATATATTTCCTCATATTCCTTCTGTACCACAGTACAGATTCTGAGGAATAATAAAAGCATATTTCCATTCCTCCTTCACACAAATGAAGTATCTCAGAATACTGTAGCTACATAGAATAAATACTATTTTTTAAAGTACATTTGAATTAGCTCACTTAGCAGATTATCTAATAATAATACTAAGTCTGCAAAATAAACCAAATCATAGTCCCTTCCTCACTTAGTATGACTTGATGATTTTGCATGTGAAGGATATGTCCTCTTGGCAAAGGCAACTGTAGTAAACAAGCTGCTGTTTGTGACCACCTTCTGGCAGGATTAGGCAAGCAATACACTAACAGCAGGTAAATACCTTTACATTCCTAGAGCCGTTATCCAGAAGCATTATCCAGCAGTTATCCAGAATTTATGCAGAAGAATATCTTCTATTGCTTTTCCAACACTACTTCAAAAAATTTATGAGCACTCATGTTGCTCACTTACGAAAATTTAGTGCTTACAGTTCAGTAAGTGAATAGCCATTAAAAAACAGCTAAAAAACCTCCTAGTAGCAAGAACAAATCACAGACCTTTGTTTCTGCTAGACAAACTTCCATTCTTCAAAATCACATCTGTTCTTGCATGCTTCATCTTTTCTCTAATTTAGTGATGAAGTGCTTCTACACGAGAATACTGATGACCCACAGCATCTCAGATGTAGACATTCCTGAATACAAAAATGTTTGGCTAGGATACCACTAGTCTGTAATTTTATTTTATTTTTTAGTAGAACAGGTTTCTTGGAAATAGAAGTTTAGACATGTATGTGTCCTTCTTTCTGTTAGCACCCTAAAGACCCCTTCAAGCTAGCCCTAATTTCATGTTTACAAATACTCTGTTAAATTCTCACTTAGCATGGAGAAAACACAAGCAATACCCCTCATCTTGGGAGTTAAAAGCACTCCCTGCCTAAAAATCAAATCATAACTCATTGGCTTTTGAAGCAAAAGGGCAAGACCTAAATTAAATTTATGTCTCACACTGGTGGGAAGCATCTCCAGCTATTTTGCTGGCCGTTCTGGAATTTCTTTGTCTTTGGTTCATATGCTTTGATTCACACTTTGTTTCTTGTGGAGCTGATGGACAATTGCAAATTATTCTCCACCAGAATTCAGTGCTGGCTGTACTGAGGATCCAGTCGCCAGGAAAAAATAAATAAATCAGCAACAAAAAATTCCTTTAACTACTGAGGGAGTTAGCAACATTTTGAAAGAAAATTGTAGCATCATTCAGAAACAAATAAATAAAACATATTTATAAGGTTTCCAACATAGTATGGATGGCAGATGTATTTACCTAAGAGTTCCTCCTTTCTACTAACGGGACCATAAAAGCCAAATTTGCCTGAGGGGCTTCTACTGAAGTCAACAAAAATAGTCCACACACTCACATGCAAAGAGCAAAACTGTATTTTTATATAACCATCATCTGTTAAATTCTATCTCCAGACACTCAACTGACTAGGAACTTTTCACTATGTATCTAAGGATAGCATTTAGCTATAAATCAAGTCTCAATGGAATTCCTGCAAGCTCCCTTACCAGGGTGCAATATTATCTCTGGTTAGACAGCAATTTATCCAGAAATAATTCACTTTCTAGACCTGGTGATAATTCTGCTTATACAACTCTTGAAGATCATCCAGGAAGGTTTTGGGTTTTCCCCTAAACAAGATAAATGCCAGCTTCTTCACATAAACATTATGTTGATTTTATGTTGAATTCATTGCTAAATAAAAAGATTACCTGCAGCCTTAGATACAGCACTTGCGCCCAAAAGCTACAACGTTCATTACAACCATTGATCTGAAAATAGTACAAAAACAGGGAATGAGACAAACGTGATACCAGAAATCCAGTGGAACAAAGTATTGGTTATCTGACTTGTAAAGCAGATTACCTGAAGAATTTCCTTTAGACCATGAACAGCTGGTGGCTGGTACAAATTAGAAATCTGTTCTTCCTCATCCACTTCCACATGTATCTCACCAGACTGAGCAGTAAGAATATAACAGAAGCTGGGAGGAGGAAGATTAGTTGTCATCTATTAAAAAGTAAGGAAAAGATATGTGACCTTAAAAAAAGCACTTTAATTTGGCCAGTTGAGTTTTATAGTAATAGCCAAAACGAAGCACACTATTTACATTTTAAGAGGGATGGGGAAACAAAATTATATGGTTAATACCAACGACTCTCTGAAGTAGAAGTTGAGTTAATAAACCGACATTCACAAGTTATAAGTGAAATCAGCATGTGCATATCATTCTTTCCATAATCTGACATTGACCCTCATCACAAAAACATCTCATGATTTGGCACACTTGGCAAACACTGTGACTATTTCAAGGTGTTTGTTGTTGGTTTCGCATTTTTTTATTACATGGTAGGAGTGCCCTGATTACTCTTTTATTTTAACATCCGTAACCTTTCTGAAATTTGGGGACTTTTGCATGTGGGTGGGTTTTTGTGATAGTAAACAGCTGCCGAACTTTTAAAGCTGCCAAATTAAATCCAGGACAGCACAAGGAGATAATGAAGAACAGGAACGCAACAGCTACAAGAACTGCTCTTTTTGTGTTATGCCAGATTTTTCTTTCCCCCTTATAAAGTACCATGACGTAACAACTTTATCAATCACCACTTAAAGAGGTCCCAAGCTAGAAAGGCTTCTCAGGAAAAAAAAGACAATGCTAGAAAATAATTTTTATTGTGGAAATGGTAAAATATTCTTCTAGTGATGTTTGTTGTTAATAAAGCATTTCATTTAATAAAAGAAATATGAATGTATTAAAGACAGCTGCCCACCCATTAAAAAAAAATCTGCATAAGGAAAAAAAAAAGCAAAAGAAGTTGATACCCAAATTCTGTTTGCCTCTGACAGCGCTAAAGAAGGTATTTGAATGTACATATGGCTCAAAAGAAATCAGTTCCACAGATCTCTTCCGAACAACGTTATCAGCATGCTGGCAATATTATTTATGTACCTATGTATAAAACTGCTTCCATAAAACTGTGCATAAAACTATACAGTTTGTGTCAAGAAAAATGTATCTCAACTGAAAAAACTCCACTCAGCCAAAAACCTGCAGCAGTAGAATGCAAGTTGTGATCCTCCATGGAATGAATTAGTATTTCAAACCCATGACAGAAGTGTAAAGTGCATGATTATGGAAAGTTTCCTCCATTTTTAGATTGCTAATAAAACAGAGAAAATGAAGAACAAATGAGAGTCATAACAACGCTAAACATTTAAGAGCTTTGCTCCATCCGTGGATACTCTCATTCTGTTGTCCATAGTATTTTAATGCACAAAACAATGCATTCCTCTCAGACTTCCAAAACGTCTGGATGAAAGGGAAAGTCAAGGTGAGAACAGCCATTTCACTCAGTTTCAGTCTTGGTTTTATATATAATCAAGGAGTGAACTTTTTATTCTTCAACATAAACCCTGGCAAAATGCAAAGAACACTGTACATTGCAAAGAAAAGATTCTCAGACTTTAGAAATAACTAGTAATATCCACCTTTAATGCCCTCTGGCTTTGAAACTTGTTTATTTCCAGCTTTTTCTTCTTTTCTAGAACTTGCATCCTGATTGACTCCCCCAGGCTCTTACACAAATTTTTAATACCACAAACTTCTTCCCCAAAGAACAGCCCATACAAGAACAGCAGGACAAGCACTTGGCTACCCAGAAGCTTCTCAAATGATCTTGTATTACCAAAATGACACTTGATATGACAGAACTCCTTTTCAAATACAGAAGCTAATTAAAGGAAAATTAAAGATGCAATTTTAGATTTGCAAATATACAGTAACACACTTTAAATCCATTTTAATACCTCCCCACCCCCTAAAATCACAGTAACTTTCATTACTTTTTAGAAGATTATTTTTGTGTTCATCCTTCGACAAGTATCAGTCAAAGTCATCCTAACTAGTAAGAGACCCAATTCCAGCAGTCAGTCTGGCTTCACAGAAGTTAATCTTCGGAAAAGTGCTTTCAAATCTAAGGCTGAAAAGTACTTCAAAAGAATGAGTTAATATCCTTGTATATAGATTTCTCAGCTGGCTCCATGCTATCTAATATCTCTTTCCTCCTGCAAGGAGAGGAGAGGAGTAATTTGTCTGGACATCCTACCATTCTAGCTCTAGAGGATTAATAAGGGGCTAATTGTATCATTTTGGAAAGATGCTGCTGATCCAGAGGGCTTCAGGTTAGCCTAGGAGGTTGCCAGAACCAGTAAAACAAAACTCAGTAGCTAAAGAGAGGGAAAGAATCTGATTCCCAAAGTAAACATGATTCACTACCAACAAAAATAGTAGTTGTGAGTGAAAAAATACATTTCCATAATAACAAGACTTACCGTTTCAGAGGCTTGACTTTGTCCAGCAACTTTTACAGGCACTACTGGAGGCCACAGGCTGTCTATCAAACTAAAAAGTCCTAACGCCCTTCAAAAAGACCAATAAAATCATGTTTAAAATGTTTTCCAGTGTTATATGTTATATTAAAAAGATTAATTAAGAAATATAATTTAAACCATTGCATGATTATGAAAACAATTTTAAATCATATTTGTTTTCTGGAAGCTGGTTTTGATTTGGTCTAATTAAATCTCCATCTTTTCTGCTGCAGGGTGGAGAGGGAGGGAAGGGATGTATCACATTCAGTGACAAGCAAGTTGTATTTAATCCTTTGCCATGAACAGCCTGCTGCATGATAAAATTCAGGGGAACTGGGGTAAATGCTAGCTTGGGAAGGACACAGATACCAGTACAACTTCTTTTTAAAAATAGCTTTTAACTATTTTAACTGATAGATTTAAAAAAAAAAAAAGTTTTGCTTCTAATGTTTTTATTTCTTGCTTTTCTCTAACAGCTGATTGTAACTGCTTTCAGGAAAGTCAGCAATTATCAGATATGGAGAAACAGACAAGATTTTGTTATCTTAAGTACATGTGCTGAGGACGGTCTCCTTCCTACACAGCTGCTCATTTAGTTATGATTTGTATTTATTTATTTCGCACATTTCCCACTTTTAATTTAGAACAAATATAAAATTAACAGCCCAGCATATTAAGGTAAAGCATATTTAGCAAGCAAAGCTGTCATGTGCAGCAGTTCAGTGGCTGCCTTGTCAGCTGATATGGCATCCTTGCTGGACAGGCAGGAACATCTGAGGGAGAGGCCAAGAAAACAGCTGAAGGAGGGGAAATAGCTACAGATAACCAACTTGGAGGCATGCATTCTTGAGTTAAAGCTCCCAGTTATCTTGTCCTAGTTCTCTGTTCTGTGTAGTCGAAGCACAGAGATCTGGATTTTAACCCCACACTGCCTCCAAGAACAAGTTGTCTGTTCCTCCAGTTAAGAAAGCCACCATTTCTGAAACAGCTCTAAAAAATGAAGTCCAAACCTTGCTAAAAGTAATATTAGCTTCTGAACTCAACTGTTAGAAAGGAAACAGCATACTCTGGTACAGGGCTGAAGCACATTGCAATATGCTGCTTCTCTTCAAGGGGTCACAGAAACTTTCCTTTTAAAGTTCTGCTTTTAGCTCACTTCTGCTTATTTATTTCTCTATTTCCCTAGTCATTCTCCGGATCCTGAAGTGCTTAGACTTTGGGTGTCTATAGGCAGTGAACTTCTTCCCACGTTTCTTCATAAAGCACCAGGTATCATCCATGATTCAGTGTTAATAGTGACACCTTTGGACCAGCACTGTAAGAAGTTTTATGGACACAAATCTCAGAGTGGTTCTTGTGGAATAAAGCTTGTGGTTCACGATTCAGGTAACAAGCTGGCAGATTAAAAAAATGATGTTGCTACCTGTAGTCATGTTCTCTACGCTAATGAACAGACCAGAAACACAAATGTGCTGCTCTTCTACAGAAATGAACTTCCTGACTTATATGGCATCATCGCCAAGTCTGTAAAAGGAGAAGGCTGTGCTCAGAGGCTGGGCTTCTTTTGGTTTGTGTTTTGTTTTTAACAGTGAGAACATTACAACTAACAGTGAGAACGTTACAACATACAAAGCGACACTTCTTAGGTATTAAAGAGACTTTACAGCAAATGACCACTTCTTGAATCCTTGACTGGGGCGAGATTTTCTGTCTTGTATCGTACAGAATGATATCCTCTCTACAGTCACAGGAGGGCCAACGCCCAGAGGAACAAACTGGTCTTGCTAACTGGGACATGAAAAAGGAGAGTTACAAAAAGAGAGGACAGCCTCCCGTACAACTCAGGCAGTTACACAAGTGGCCTTCCTCACGCAACACGCAGCACGAGGGCAAGGACAAAGCATGGGTTTGAACGTACCACAAACTCTGTGTGTGTGTGTGTGTACACAGAGATCGCATACTTACCAACTTAGAGCAACTAAGCTATGTTGTTGCAGTGCAGATATAATCACCTCTCCACACAGAGCTTACATTGATCCCTCATCTGTATTTTTAAGTTTGCACAAGGGACAGGAAGTTGTCCCTTCTCCTTTAGCTCTCTTCCAGCTTGCTACCCTACATCAGAATATCTAAGACATTTTCTTCTATTACTTGTGTCCTTTTGGAGAAGGACACCTACTGCTTGAACTAGGAGCACTTAATTATTAGTAAATGACAGTATTTGTTTACAAACAGGCAGAGGAGCAGCATTGCGTAGAAAGCATCTCCTGAACGTCTTGGCCCCATCCTCTGCTTTGACACCAGTCAGGCAAAGGGCAGTGACATCTGCCACCCAAAGGATTTGGATCCTTGTCTACCAACAGGACCTCCTCTCCTGGAGCTGTCACTGTATCAGTCAGTGTCCCTGGTGAGGAGCTCCTCTCTTGCTCCACCCATTTCTACGCCTCCAAGAAAGTTAACTCTCTCTTTACTCTTATGGACTTCGACTTAGCAGAAGGGGGAATGAAGTGCGGGCAATGACAGTGGAGAAATGGCAAGACATTGTGTTCTCTGTAGAAAATCACTATCGTCACTGAAAGAATAAAGTTCATTCTCTTTATTGCCCCAGCCACACTCAAATCCCACTTCAATCCAACTTGAACAATGGGTTTATTTTATCCAATATGTGTATCCTTCTTCAGTTATAGAGTCAGGACAAGAGATGAACAGCTGGCTCTGTGCTACAGTGAAGGGACATGGTTAGCTCCCATGTGCACAAAGAGCCTCTCTGGCTACAGAAGACAAAAACTTTAAAATTTTGCTCTGTGAGTGTAATTACTTATCACTTTTAAAAAATTAATTAAATAATTTGATCATAAAAGGACAGACTTCTAAAAAAGGAAAAGTAGAGTAAAAAGTGAGAAGAAACAGGCTTAAGGATAAAAAAAGGACATGTAAAGTATTTTGAATAACGTTTTTTTTACTTCAGAGACAAGGACTCTATTGTAGTATTCTACAATTTTTCTTTGAAAAAAAGAAAAAAAGACTGGATCCATACCAGGAGAAGGACAGAAATCATCTATCAGATTCTAAATGGCAGACTCAACCCCCTACTTTCCGTGCCAGACTGAAATCTATGTTTGGTAAAAAACTTTTTGTCCCATACTGAATATGTAGATGTCCACTCTTTATCACCACCACCGTAAGGCCACCAGTTACTCCAATGGAGTGTTATAGTATAGACTTGCATAGAAGTATGGACTTAACGACAGGCAGTCCTCTACATAGAGGTACTCTTCTCTAAATCTACATCTTCAAGCTTCGCTTATATAATGATACTTTTATATATATGTGTGTGCGTGTATATACATGTAATACGCAAAATAATTCTTTTTAATGTCCTTAATTGTTTTTACTATCCAATGTGCTCAAAAGGAATCCCTCTCAACTTAAACTTTCCTTGCCGAACTTTGGTACATCTTTTCTCTGTATCCATAAATGCAAACTGCCTGCTGTGTACCCAGACAGCAATCAGAGACTTTTAAAGATTTAATACTGTTAAACAGGCTAAATACATGCCTAAGAAAATGCAAAATATACATGCAGAAATTAATCCTGACCTATTTAACAAATCATCTTAAACTACTCCATAGAAAAATTACTGGAAGATAGTGAGTGATACTAATAAACTAGTATTTACTTTTCCTTCCCCACAATTCTTACCAGAGCTCATGACTGTGCTGCCCTGTACAGAAGAACCTGCTTTCATTTGCTCACCTAACCACCCTCCTTCTCAGTTTCAGAGCGCAGCAGAAGACAGAAGTCACCTTCTGCTTCTAACCTTCCTGGCTTGCTTTGCCCTTCACTGCAGTCAAATGGCATACATTCATATCTGCACACATGCACACACGTTTGCTCTATGATTTTTGATAAAAACATACAAATAAAGAGAAAAGATGTTGTAACTATATTTAGACACCCAATACAGTGGTAAACCAGTATCTACAGCATCATCACATTTACTCTGATCCTGCCGAAATTTCATTCATTTCATACTACAAGCCACATTACAGAAGTCAAAAAACTTCAAATTTTGATGTTTCAAAACTGTATTTCACTGACTGTGATCTGACAACTTATTTCATAACTTAATAAGAAGATTTTGTTTATTTCTCTCACAAGCATGAAGTTTCACCTACAGTGCCAGACCAAGAACTTTGCGTGTGACATGCCTGATTCAACTTTTAACATTACAGCTTATAGTTTGGGGGATTTTAAAATTTTAATAATCATACCACAGGTTCAGGGGAAAATTACTACAGGGAGAAAATATCAGCAATATCAAAGAAAGTAGAAGGAAAACAATGCCCACAACTAGGAAAAGAAGAAAGACTATGTAAGGTTTACAGTAGGAGACAAGAAGAAAGGTGCTAGGATTCTCCTCCAACGTCTTCCACAGCTTTGCTTTGGGGACTCAAGACTTGGCACTTCTGTTTCCTCCTCTCCTTCTCTCCCAGTTGTAGTCTAAACTGAAACAGTTTTCTTTTGGCAGTATCAGTCTCAATTATGAAGAACTCAAAAATAAAGCAATTCCTAGCCCTCTGTGAAACATCTCCTTGCTCAAAACTAAAAAGAAATTCAGTAATAATCACCTAGACTGCATAAGCTTCAACTAGCAAAAGACAAGCAATCCAAATATAAAGCTGATACTGTAGGTTAGCTCTCCCTTTAACTGACCTATTAAGATCTTGCAGTGCACAAGCTATGCAACACCATATTTTCTCAGACTTGAGTAATAAAAGCAACAAAATCATAAAGTAAAAATCTGAGCCTACTAAACCAGCATCTCAGTCAAAATACAAACAGGGAGGAAGGGTTGCTGGCTTTTTTCCCCTAAGTTTTGTTTGGATATATGAAATTATTTTGTTGAATAACTTATGTACATACTTGAATAACTAAATTTTCTATAGTACATTAGAAATTACACATACTACATTAAAACACTGAAATTATAATATAAAAGTACTTTTGATTCAATATGGATACGCCTATGTTATTCTCCAATGTTGGTTACTAAACAGATTCATGACAGAAGCACTGAAGATACAAGCAGCAGTCCGTGCTTGTTAAAGAGAACAAAACTCAGGAAAAGTTAATTTCTGATACATAAGCAGTCATCAAAAATAATAAAGAAGTAATGCAAATATTCAAAACTTCAATGTGATTACTGAAATTATGCTTTAAATAGAACTCAACTTTTAACCACAGCAATTACTGAAGTGTTTCAGGACCTCAAAACCTCAGAGACGTGGGTGGCTCTTTTAGATGGCAGTCTTTTTGGAGGAGGGAAAACCAAAGGAAGGAAGTTATGACTTCCTTGCTCGGTGAAGAGTTCTTACTATTACATTTCCTGTCAACGTCCAGCAGTTGAAACACTTTCTTGTGTAGCAGTTAGCGGTGATCCTCTTTTCTGAGTGTAAAGCAAAGAGAAGAGAAAGTATACAGTGAAGAGTAGAGGAAGAAGGAGAGAGATAGAGGCCAGAGAAGTATGGGACTTAAATAAGTAGGAAAAAAAAGAAGAAAGAAAACCCTCAGACACAATAGTGACCACACTACAGACAAATACAGGGAGATTTCACATTTCAGTGCCTAACATTTGAAAGTTTAAAATGACAAATGACAGAACCAACTTTATTTGAAAACAGAAATTTCTCAGGGAAACATAACACTGGTTGATGAACTCAATATTCAGAGTCTACTTACTTTAGATGAAAATGCAACAGATAGTACAGCCTGCCATGAATTAAAGGTAGGGTCAAGTGCCAAAGCTTATGAGTTGATGTATCCTTCAAAGTGTTTTATCCTATCCAACTTAACTGTGGATTTTAGCACTGTCCATGCAACAGTTGCATCTTCTTTTGAAACTTGATAAGCATTTTTTCAATTTAGGGTCAAAATTCGTACTGACACCATGCATTAATCATGTATTACATTAGAGCATTTCTTCTTCCTCCCTCCATTTTTAAATTGGTGTCATCTTTCTGTTCAGCTGAATAGAAACTCTTCATATTTCTACCTTATAAGAAAGCATAAAGAGGCGAGGCAGGTCAGTCTGCTATACTCAGCAGTGAAACAACTCGGTGCTTGGCAAATCAGGTGAAAGACACAAATTGTCAAAATTCTTATTATTATTCTGTGTAGAACTCCAGTCAGGGCTAAAAACATCATAATATTTTTGTCAACAAAGACAGATATCCAACTACAAAGTTTATCCCAGCTCACTGAAATTAATTTCTGGTAGGAAGCAGCAGACGATGACAATTTAGAAGTTATTCCTGAGGCATTTTAGTGAGTGCTCAGTCCCTGCATCTAATTGCATCCATCTAGTTACTGGTTATACCAGACATACCTGAAACATGCCTGGGATCTATTAAAACAGGGGGGTTACATGTTAGTTGTACTGCATATAGATTCTCAACCAATATTCCTGCCTCCAGCAGTACACAGTCAAAATCTCACTTCCTCTTTCTCAAGGGGCTGAATTTATAAGACTGACATCTGAGGTAGTGGGAGGACAAGGGAGAGAACATACACCTCTAAGGAGCCAACACCACCAGTGGCAGATCAATGAACATTTTTCAGTCTTCTCTCTTTAAACCACCATGTCCTTCTTTTTTGCTGATACTGAGCATGCAGTTCAGGGAACAGTTGTAGAAAAGGCTAGGATACAAGTATGAATGAGAGGGTGAAGAGAAAAGGTGTCAAGAAACAGATACTGAACCACATTTGTGCTGTTAATTCATCTGCTACAACACTGGTTCCTACCTTCTTCAACAGCCTCATGAACAGACTAGAAGAACTGCTGGAAGTAAGACACTGAACAAGCCATGGCAACTTTGCCGTGACTCAGCCATGCCCATCTGTCTTACTGGACTGCAAAGAGAAACACCACTTCTTCTACTGGAGTACAAAGGGAAAGATTTCTTGCAGGGATTGTTTTGGGAAGTATGTTTCATGTTGGGTATGGGAGTTATTCTGAAAATCACCTAAATCAATGAAAGACCTTCAAATGACCTAGTACGAGACCCTAGTACTTGTTAAAGCACATGGGTATTCAAAAACAATATTCAACATTAACAGTGTTTCTCTCAATGTAAAATTACTATAATTCCAATTTTTCACAGGGTTGATCTTTGTCAAGACAGAACACGGTTGTGAAAGTTTTCCTCCCACTTTTCTTTTGGAACACAAGTGTTTCCTTACCAGGAGAAGAAATGGGTTTAGTTTCTTTAGCACATCTTACAGTACAGGTCCATTCCAAAGATCAAGTCAGGTTTACAGCCGCGTTTTTGCTTGGATGTAAAATACTCTTTATTATAGGTTTTTAGTCCTTGAAATGTAACAGCTTACATCATTCATTTACTGGAATGATGTTAAATAGTACTTTAAGTTAAATACTTGATGATGAGGATTGATGATGGCCTGGGAAATTTTTTGAACAGTAACATTAACATTGGTCCATTGATGCAAAAAGCTTGAGAATCTCTTGCATCTCTTAAATGAAAACCTCCTCTGTCTCATGGAGGTACTGAGGAAGCACTCTGTCTCTATAAGAAAGATTACAGTCCATGTGACTGTGGGACAACATGGACACATGGGATCTTATTAGCCATTCCTGGCTTTCTCCAGATCATGTGCTTCAAAGGCATAAAAAAAAAGTCATGACTTTTCCCTCATATTTCCTACATTTTATTCCCTTTTATCCATTTTAAAAGCCACTGTCAGACTCCAGGAAACAAACAGTTTAAAAGCCACCTCCTTCCAAAAAGTAATTGGTGTTCTCAAAAAAAAAAAGGCAGCAGTCTTTCTTGCAGGGCAGACCACATAGTTCTTATTCACTCATGTGCTGCAAGCCAAGGTTGGGCACTCACAGGCATATCCCATCATGTGCTCGGATGTTCCCTGGCTGTGGAAACCCATTTATCCAGTGGCAATGAGTTCTACAGTCTAATTATGCTCTGTGTGAATAAGTACTCCCTTATATTCGTTTCAGCTATGGCTTTACTGTGGTTTCCATCACACCTAGAATGACACAAAATGCGTCCCAACACTTAAAAGTAATAACAAGTTATAAAGCAGAACTTAGGCTAAAACAATTAAGAAAAAAATAAATCCCTGAACAATTCCCCCACCCACCCATCTTGTACAATGAAATCACGTTTTAACCACTGCACTGTCCCTGAAGCTACACTAGCCTTTTTCTTTTAATGTTTCCTAGCAGGGTTACCACCAGCACAGCTCCAGCTGAGCCACCAGCATTTTCAGTAGTGTGTCTTCTAATCGTCCTCAGAATAGCCAGAAGTAAGTTACTGGTGCTTTGAAACAGAATTTACATTAGAAGAAGTCTGTCTCTTATTAGCTAGGCAGAGTACTGGAAACACCAGCAGCCAGTTGTAAAACTTCATTTGTATCCAGAATTCCAAAGCTATTATTTAATTTGTTTGGAAAAAATGTAACTTGAAAAAAAAGCCAACAAAATAATTAAATAAGAAGACTTGTTTGTTATTAAAGATCCATAAAAATGCAAGTAGGCTTGAAATCTAAAGGATCTGAAAATTAACACTGCAAGTACATAAAAAGAAAAGCATACTGAATAGGGCTGGCTGGAAAACAACAATTCAATTTTGCTAAACATTTCAAGGCTTTGAAATTTGTTTTTTGTTCCAATATGAAACAAAAATGAGACTTTCTGAAAGTTTTCATGAAGTAAGAATGAGAGAAAGAATATTCACTCCCTCTGGACCTGAAAAAATCTTCCCAACCAAATTCTCTCCAAAATAGATAATGTTTCCATGAAACATTCTGGTTTTGATGAAACAGCATTTTTCAACAGGAAAAAGAAGTGTCAGCAGAAATATCACAGCCATTCTAACAGCAAAGGCTTATCTAGATCGGATACTTGTAGGAATAAATTATGTTGAGAATTGAACCAACCTAATCATGTTTATATAGGTCCCCACGTGAACACTGTATCACTTGCCTTAGAAAGATACTCCGTAAGATACTTGATCTGTTTAATTTTTTTGTGTTCATTAAAGATATTTTATTTTATTCAAAGAATGTAAAAGGAATCACAAAATAAGCAAAATCTGAGAGGTACGGTAAGTCAATTTGTTACTTATCTGGGGGGATTTTTCTATAAACCTGTGGACATTCTTATTCCAAAATAAGAATGGCTTTATGATTTGCAAGATTATTTTTTTTTTAAAGAAACTTAAACTGTGCTTCCAAAACCATATAGACTTAACTGAATTAAGCTCTCATATACTAAGGGAAAGTCTGTGCGTGAAACTTCAACCCATACTGGGAAGCACTGTAGAAAAACATACTGTAGTAAACAGTTCTGCAATGGAAGTGAGGTGAACTAATGTTTTGAAGTCTTTGAATCTACTGAAAAGGAAGAAAACACTAGTGTTTTATATGAAATATTGCGTACGGTAATTCTTCTCTATTCATTTCTCTGCTAAGTGTGTATTTGTGTGTTAGCTTATTTATGCTTATTTTGGAATATGGTTGGCTGAAGTACTACTATTGGATGTCCCAAAAATGGCAATGAGGACACTTAATTGAACAAAGCCAGATTCAGTTGTTCCAGAGAATACTGATCACAGAAATGAATAAAAAGGCAGATCACCTCTGCCTGCCACAGCACGCAATACATTCTCCCATGAATTGTTCTCACCTTCCTCTTGTAGTTCTTTGCAAAATTTTCATTCCAGCTAAGCAGCAGAATTTTCCTTCCCATCTCCTGCAATACTGCTCAATGTCATCTGCAAAAGTCAGGGACTGCAACTGCACTTCACTGAACATACCATAGGCATCCTGGACAAGGAGGCATAACCTGCAAAACATTTCTCCATTACTCATTGGATTCTGTTCATAACAAACTAGTTAGCAAATTTCTGAGAACTATATTACAAGCTTCAGGACAGGGCTCATCCTCTACAATATCTGGAGAACTCCTACCAAATAATGTATCAATAAACAAAACCAACATCATTAAAGGTTTTCTCATGTGTATTTTCAGGAGGTAACAGGGCCATGAAATAGAAAAGCGTGACTAAAAAAAAGCGTAAGGGGTTTGCGCTGGGGGGGATGAGATAAATTAACTGCTATGCATTATGTGGTTTGTGTACTTACAAAGAAAGATTGAGTTTTTGCCTTACTTGAGGTGAATTCTGCAATGCAGACAGAGCAATGATGCAGACGTCTATGTGTGTGTGTATAAATATAAAAATTCTGCTTAGAAGTAAACAAAGCAACATATTTCACAAGTAATAATCACCAACACTGAAACTGGCAAAGCTAGCATTATATTTTCTATAACTTTTTTAAAAGAGTCCTGAGGATACAAAAAAAGAGTGAAATGTCAATTTTTCCTTTTAAAAAAAACCTAACATGAAACTGCAGATTAGTATATTCAATATTGAGTATGAAGAAGCCCAGAGGAACTATTTTAAGGAGGTAATTAAAGAACCTGCTAAACAAACAATTTGATTAAAGTAATCTATGGAAGTAGGGGCTGTAGGGCTGGGAAGTATTGCTTAACCAACTTGCTGGCATTTTGAGAAGATATTACTGTCATAGCAGATAAGGCAAAATCAGTGGATGTCATACCTTTAGATAGTCAAAAATGCATTTCACAAGATTCTGCACCTGAGATGAGCAGCCATGATAGCATGAGTCATACAGTGCTGAAAGAAGGAGGCTGCTGTCTACAAGATTGGCTTAATTGCCCCAGAAAGAGACAGTTAAGCACGGAAACTTTTCAAAGGGAGACAAAAATTACCTTTGAGGGTAGCGCATACATCATTATTTCTAAATAATAAAACTCAGGGGTGCACTAGGCAGCAGAATTCATTTCATTTCAAAGGTACATGCCAAAACTACCTTCTCCAGAGCTGCATCATTGTTCACAGAAAGCCAACTTCAACTGCTTTTGAAGCACATCATGTAGCATATGCATCCTGAAAGCATTCGACAGTAGTCATTATATCTTTATAAAACATTTAAAATGAAATGAGGTCCTATATTTCTCTGGAAGAAATCCATATATTTTCTTCTCAGGGAAGCTTAGGCACATGGAAGACCATTAAGCACAGTTTCCTTGTTCATTATGAACTGCCTAACTTTGGCTTGCACCCTTAAGGGGGCTGTATTCAACACAGGATACAACCCCAAAGCCTTTCAGACATCAGCAGCTGTGCAAGCACCAGCTGAGAGTCCTCATTTTTCATATTCTGGTGCTGGTTTTGAGGAGCAGGGAATGGTAGGACTGAACACAAATGAAGGCTCCCGTATTTTCCCCGTGTCTTTAGCTACAAGGGTCCCACATAAACAGGTAAAGAAAGCTTAGGTACAATTCCTCCACAGCCTGCCAAGGTTAAGAAGTCCTCTAGAGACATGAAACAGTGCTTCTACCCTGAGTAATGACAAACAGGAGGAAACCAAATGCTGATGTGATCTGTAGGCTGGAAGGATACGTACCCTCATCTCTGGGATGAGTGGTGTTCCCAGCCTAGAAAGCCGGTGACTATCCTAACAATACAAACCTGTGTCTTCAACAGATCTATCACTCTTTTCGTTTTCTGTGTAAAACAATCTGTGAGATGTCTTCTAGATTTGTATCACAGGATCATCTCCAACTCAACAGAACAAAGACTGATGTGCTATGAACATGACAGCCCAGAAGCAGAAATACTACAGTTGCCTGCCGCTTTCCATGTTAGGACATTGCAATCAGTTAAAAACTCTCCCCTGAGTTTTAACTGATTTGACTGAACCTCCTCATGCTATTGTTTTGTTCGGAAAAACGGAGCTAATATGCTCTGGACATTTCTGAAAATCAGATTGAGGGTAACAGGAAAAACAAAGCAGACAGTTTTGCCTGTGTGAACAAAACATTCAGTAATGGTTAACTGTGAAAAATTAGGCCTCTGTATCTTGGAGCAAGCAAGGGCCAACTGAGTTAGTATCTCAGATCTGATCAGTTCAGCAGTCTCTTAACTGATCACTGGAATTTCTCACATGTTTAGTGAGACATAAGTGAATGCAAGTAAGTCTCAGACTAGCTGGCACCAGGCTCATATTAAGTCCTCTGGGACATATTAATTGCCCAAATAAAATTAGCTTGGTTGGTGCCGAAGACATCAGCCACTAAAAGTGCATTTTCCCAGTCCTTTTAAGTCAAGCAAAGAGATGGCTGCTGTCAGACATGGGAGTCTCAACTCCCCGCATCCTTGGCCACGGATTTCCATCCCTTTGTGGCAGCAGCATAAATGGCTAGGATAGGAAACTGACCTGACCAAAAAAATACTGTAGCCAAATAATTATCATCATCAGATCAGCTCCCTGAAAATTAACTCTGTAGAAGTAAACTCCTATTTGCATGGAGTACTACTTCTAGACAAGAATGTATTTCCCAGGCAGGATTAGGAGGCTGAAGCTCCCACTCCAGCTGTCTAGCGTACACAGCACAACATCCCAGGTCGTATGATGGGAGAATGGTCATCTTATGACCAAGCTTGATATACAGAAGTAAAGGAAGAACTGTGTAACTTGAGGCTTAAATCACTAATGTTCCCATTCGCACTAGTGAGGCGTTCATGATTATCGGCATCATGAAGAAACACAGAGCAGCAGAACTTACTGCATCAGACTCCAAGCACTTTTGCTCTATTAGGACCATACACATGAGCAGACATCCACTATACTACACTTGTTCTAACAGTATCCCAAAGGTAGTCACAGTTTCTCTGCAACATGCCTTTAAAATGAAAGGTATATATTCACTCACCTGGAAGACAGAATTTCACAAATAACCTTCAAATGCCCAATTTCAGACTAAAAGATGAGGAATATCCCAAACTAATGCTATGAAGAGAACTTCACGAACACATATTCCCTGCTTCAGCACACTTTTAAAACAGTACAAATGCATGATGACAAAAACTTGAAATATTCTCAATGTCATTTGATCCATCTCACACTAATTTAGTAGGTAATGCTATAGGTATTTAATGATGAGTGACAACTGATTTTCCTACTTAATGACTATCATGAAGTCAGCTGAATCCCCCAACAGACTCAGAGATGCACTTGGAGAACAACTCTCATGTTCTCTGAAACTGGTTCTGTTCCTATGGATTTTGCAGACGCTGTTAGCATTACTAACAGTAGTTCAGCTGCTTTTGGAGGCTGTTGATTCATGGCCTTTACTTCCTCACCAGCATTGTTTTTTTTCCTTGATTTCACTTTATTCCCAGAAAAGTGCATTTGTTTTATTTTCCCATGTTACAGTGTTGCTCTCACACTGCAGCAAATGTTCTTGCAAATTAAGTTTTAGCAGCAAGTCTAACTGTGATTAAAGCAACAGTTTGTTCCATGATTTTCCCCCCCTTTGGAGCTCACTACCAGGATAAAAACCCACATCTAAATTATGAGACAAGCTGCAAAACCAAAATTAGCATCTGCCCCCAGGAATTCAGCATTTATGTTTTGTGCGTATCTACCACAAATACTTTTTTTTCCATAAAATGTGGTGTTTGTACTGAATCAGTTAATCAGCTTGAACATACCTTTATCAATGCCTTGTCAGTATGCATAGTAATGAACTGTTAAAAAAAAGAGGGGCAACATCTCCATTTTTATCAGCAGTGCTCATGTAGGGAGGAAATAAGGGCCATGTTTATTTTTGGGACAACAGGATGCCACCCTGTGTAAGACCTGAATTTAAAATATGGTTTTGAAAACTGAAATTTCTCGTGCAAAGGAGCAGAGAATTCACTCCAGGAGCAAGGGTTGGCAGCAAAGCCGGTAGAAGAGTGAATGTGGGAGATGTAGACTAAGGAAAAGGTGAAGTATGACTCATTGGTAATAATAAAGGAGGTGAAGATAGGGAATGATAAGAAGCGAGGCAGAGATTAGCCTTTTTTTTTTTTTTTTTTTTTTTTTTTTTTTTTTTTTTAAAGTAATGACATAGTAAATCTCATGCAAAAGCTTGGGAAGATTTTGTTAATTTGCTAATAGCCAGGAGCAAGGATGGGGGCTGGGGGAAGATGAGACTGATTACTGTGCATTATTTCTATGACTGTGCTGATCTTTAGGACAAAATGTCTCCCAGAAGAAATCTGGAGAGGATTACAGGATTACTCTGCCATGCTCTTCTCCTAGTTAGTCACTCCTCACGGGTAAAGGGTAAAGCCTTCTTTTACTATTACTTTTTTATGCATGAAAAATCATATCTCTCCATATTGCTGCGTTGTACCGGGCAGCTGACTTTCTGGAGAGGTAAGGGTGACAAAAACCTTCTTCAGCTTTGGTCACATCCAGCCTCCTCAGCGGCTAGTGGAAAAGAATAAGAAAAAGAAGATCTGCCTGCGGAGGACATGAGAGCGCACAGAGGCCAGGACTGACTGATGACACAGGGATTGTCTTTACTGAGTCTTGTGAAAACAAGCAGCAGAAATTTGTCATGAACAGATCTTAACTAACAAATAATTGTTTTACCCTTGGGTAGGAGGACAACCACAGGGCCCACAGCAGCTCTTCTGCGTGCATAGCTAAGCTGTGCAGTACAGCATGAGGAACAAGACAGCCAGGCAAATGCCACCACCACCTTGGCTGTGCTCAGCAGGGACTTCATTACTTACTCTTTCTTTGGAAGGGAGGGAAAGGGGAGAATGGAGAAATGCCTGAAAACTAACTGGATTGTATTAGCTCTGATACTTGCTCATTCTTTATCTTAACCATCCAAGAGACAGCTGCTGCTGCTGCTTTGTTTGTCAGAAGGATTTCTTATCTCTTTGAGGTGCGGTCCTAGCAGAGGCATAAAGCACACGT